TTTCTTGATCATCTGAATCTTGGACCCGTCTTGCACTACTTCTCGCGCCTTTTCTTCTCTCCGAGTAAAGCTCGTGAAGTCCGGTTGATCCTTCGATTACTCTCGCCCACCAATCAGACGTGGGGTACGGTAGGATCTGCCTATCGCGCGACGAGTATTATTGGTTAATCTTGAGTTTCGAAGCATCAACATGGCTTCCGCGGAGCGCTCCTCTCAAAGTCTTCTTCTCCTGCTTCTCCACTTACACTTCGACTTTCATCCTGCATTCTCCCTCCCTTGGCTCCCTCCTCGCTGCTATAAATTCCGCAACTGCACCCGCAAATCTCTCTTACGTTCTCGACTCCTGAGCCAGCTTCCGGGAAGCCGTGGCTAGGCAGAGTGTTTGGTGCGAGTCGGAAAGTCCTGTCGGGCTGACGATAGGCTGGCCGGTTGCACGCTTGATCGCCACGAGGGACTGTGRGATCTGGGCGAACCGCGTCGAGTTTACGTCAGCGGGGTGACGATCGCAGTGGTGGGAGTTAGCACGCGGCGGCAGGGATCGTCAGTGCGGGTATGAGGATCGATGATTGGAGTTGAGTGAGTGATTGGCCTGGGGCCATATTGGAATTCACGGCGAATGCGCCTTTGTTGTTGCGGATCTTTATCTCTGGCGTGAGTGTAAGGCGGCAATGTCGAACTTCCTCTTCTCGGATCTTGTCCTCTTCTATCTCGAGATTCCTCCCTCGCCTCTTTCTCTCTCCTCTATCTTTGAATGATGATGCRTCTCGAGGTCACTCTCTCTCTCTAATGGGAATGAGTCTGCATGCTATTCCTATGCGAAAGAACTTCTTCCGGAACTCTTCCATTAGTTTCCTGGGTAGTCCCCCTATGCAAGAACCCCACCTTCTTGTCTTGTGAACGGTGGATGCCTGTGTACTATTCAGCGACCCATCTTTTATCTTCGTGCATATCTCCTTTTCGCACCTTCCACAGTGAATGTATGTATGGAGGTACGTGTCTTTTTGAGTTGATTATACGATTGTTGTCGTGATCTTATCCGAGAATGCAAGAGTGTTTAGATCTGTAATTTTGAGTGCGCTGCGCATGCCATCTGCCTTATACTGCACGATACCTGCACCTGACCGAATTGATGAGTGTTTTCTCTCTCTCGTGATTAAAAAAGGATTGATTGGTGGTTGCGTGAGCGTTTCTTTCCTTGATGACGTCTCGGAGTTTTTGCAATTGATTGATATGTGGACTGACAAGCACCCTTCGATCGGGCGTCAGCCTCCCGTACCTCTCGTATCAACACAACCTTTTCCTTAAAACGAGGAAAGGACGCGTGTATGTGAGTGGGACGTACGAAAAGTTGTCGCACAGATCGGCGGACGATACTACTTCCCTCCGGCAAACCGTTGTTCAGGGTTCGTAGAGGCTGGGTTTGTGATTATCGACACACACTTCCCACCCTACTCGATATTGTTGCCATTCAACGAGCTGATCGTCATTCCGTGGACGGCAGTGGCGCCCCATTGGCCTCGAACCCTGTGCACAGAGTGCCGGCGTTTCGATCGCTACGAAGCAAAGGGTTTCCACTTCCGAATACGGAGTGAAGACGAGCATAAGGAAAGAGCCACGCGGCTAAGACCCTCCACATCAGACTCAGAACTGACCAGCGAGCGACGACGGGATTTGATACGAAAACGAGACACGCGAAGTGTGCCAAAGCCCTTCCGCTCTAAGCGACGGGTCGTAGCGAGGTGGGAAGCTCGACAATACTTTTTGGATTGAATTTGGATTTTTCTCTTTTCGTGCCGTGTCCGCGCGCGCATTCCGCGATGCGCGAAAGCAACCGACTTACTTCATCGGACCAACATGGGGGATTTCAGTTCCGTCCCACACTCAATTTCCAAAAATCCTTGGCACACCCCATCTTGCTGTTTTTCTGAGCCTCTTTCCGCACATCAAGCACTCCGAACGAAAGACAGCACAGGGCGTGAGGTTTGCGCGTCACACCCCCCCCCAAAAAAAAAGAAACAACAATGGACCAGGTTAGCCACTTGTGTTGATCATGACTAATGTAGGAAACTAGGTTGATGTTATGTCCTAGTGTATTCAGAACTTGTCCAAGTGTATCGAGAACTTTGGGCGATTCAATGGTAGGGATGTATAGTTATTATCTGGTCCCTAGGAATGGGTGAAGAGGTGCTGGATCACCCAGTCTAACTGGAGCTCCTATATGTCTACTCAATCTGTAAAGACTTGATGATCATGATGTATCTATGGGACGCTGGACCCGGTTTACCAGCAGGTGAGACTCCCCACCAATAGATGGAGTGGCCTGTGGGTCCTATTAGGGGGTGCTGCTCTTATCACCTTCCAGCAGGACGCTGGACCCGGTTTCCAGCAGGTGAGACTCCCCACCAATAGATGGAGTGGCCTGTGGGTCCTATTAGGGGGTGTTGCTCTTATCACCTTCCCAAATTAAGACCTGCAGTGCAGTTTACGACATCAGGCATTTTAGGGTTTAAGCTGACGAGATGTAGGTTTGCCAACAAGGGGCTGGTGTGTCTTCATAGACCAGAGAGTTCCTTGGGGAGGTATAAGCCAGCAGTAGATGAGAGTCAGATTGAAAGCAGACCATGATAAAGTATGCACCACCTCACTACCACTGTCTCCATCACTCATCACCACCGCCAGCACCAGTTCTTTACATTTCCACCTCACCCTATGGACTCCAGTCTAACCTGTCTCCATAATGGCTGTGATTAAACCACCAGTACCTTTCCCATATGTTGGCCGTGGGCAGTGTCGGAGGCCCGAAAAAAAAAGCAGGCCGCCAATTCAATTTACCAACGGCGGCCCTACCCCGCTTGGCTACCATGTTACCCAGCGCGTCTTAGATTTCAAGCGGGGAAAGGTACTGGCGGTTTAAACCACCAGTACACGGCCCCAGCCTTGCTGAAAAGAAAACTCATCGCCTACGGCTCCGCGCCGTAGATAAATCGAATTGGCGGCTGGCGGCCTCCGAAAAGGGCCAGCGGCCGATAGCTGGATGTACTGGTGGTTTAAGGCCCAGCCTGATCGGTTGGGGCCTATGGTCGGCCATTTTTAGTCACAAGTGCACAAATCCTGGAGTTCAAGCATGACAGACAACGGGTCAGGGTCCTGATGCTCCTGGTTTTATATCAAACTTGCACTCCTAATCGTTGGATGGGGTGCATGTCAGGTTGAAGCTTGAGGGACGGTCGCGATTAGAGAAGAACAAAAGAGGCCGTCGAAAGGAGCAAATAGACTTGGAAATGAAAATTGATAGGTCAATCTACGTTTTTGATCTCTAATGACTTGATTTGACATATGGCTAAACTTCTTTCTGTAAAAACCCGCTCCACAAAATGGAAGTTTCATTTTGGGTTTTAGCTGAAGTGACAAGAGTCACATGAAACCCACGAAGGTGTTCAAAAATTTTGAAGATTTGTTGTGGGATGGAGAAAAAAAACCTAGTGGGAAGTAATGCCTCCACCTAAAGGTCAAGACTCAAGACTGATGTTCCAGACACCTATTTGATGGTATTTCTCATGCCCAACTGGACGGAAAGAAAACTCTGTACGACTGTACTTGAAAAAGATGTGTTCCTTTTTAAGTCCAGGGTGTTGTAGAGGCCAGTTACTGGGCAGACAGTGATTACTGGGAGCGGTCAGCCATGGTTGCCCGGAGAAGACGAGGCTACCTCCCATCCCATCCTCGCACCTCCTGTCCCTACTATCCTACGTCAGTGTGACCAGCACTCAGGACCATTGGCCTACCAGTATCGAGGGGAACTTGGACCAGACAGCAGTGACAGACACCAGGGCTAGCCATGAGCCAATCCTGGTGGAAGCGGAGTCGAACAAGCCTTGTCGTATGGGAACTTTGGACGCCAGGCTCAAGTAATCTTCCTCTAGCCCCTAAGTGTAATGAGAGGGTCTGCCTGATAAGCAGGCACAGACCCCAGGATGAGGCAAGCTGGTGCCCACGGACGCATCCTACCGTCCTTCCCCTAACTTGGCCAAGGCTACAGTCTTCCCCCGAACACAACGCACCCTTATTTTGGCTGTATCTGGCCGGAAATATAGCTTGTATACATTCATTTTTAGGGTGCGTTATGTTCGGGGGAAGACGGTAGGCGGAACTCAGACTAGCCGGAGTGACTTATATCCCTGCTCTACCCCTAGAGTCTAAGCCCTTCGTTGAACCAGACCAACCAGTGACTCACATCCTCTACTCATCCACACACACAGTCTAGCTGATTTACGGTGGGGTACCTATCATCGAAGCGCCTATCATCATCATTAGTTGATTTTAGAGTAGACCCCCTATTACCAGACCACCCTCAGACCGACCAGTAATTCACGTCCTCGACTCGCCCATACACAGTCAAGCTGATTTGCGTTGGGGACCAACATACAACACTCGTGTTCCTTAGTATCACCATCCCTAGCAGAGCCATCTGAGTTGAAAAAAAAAAAAAAAAAAAAAAAAGGGTGCTGCACTCTTATGTATGTACAAAAACAGCAAAAAAAAAAAAAAAAGGGAAACTGTCGCTGGTACAGCGCACGAGCAGGTGCCGCGCCACACACCGTATGGCGCACCGTGTGGTTGCAAGTATGGTTTTTCCTACCTTGGAGCGTCCGAATGTCGTCAGTTTTCTTAAAAGGTGTCATACGATTCTTTTCCAACGCTGTCCAAGCATGTGTTCACTTAAGAGAAACCAAACAGTTGGGGCCACTGGTTGTCCACAGCTATTCGCTAGGGTTATGTGAGGCAGTCGTTGCAGCCTTCGGCTTTTGGTGAGCCCTTTCTGCTTTCAGTAGGTACCCGTTCTTCCATCATTCCTTGTTTGTTTGTTTGTTTGTTTTCCCAGCTGCGATTTCTGCACGCTCGCAGAATGATTTGCAGAGACATATAATCGGGAATTGAAAATATAAACTCCTTGACGACTACATAGGTCATCATATATGGTGTTGTGGTGACTATCTACCCTCACCTTTTCTGAAATTTTGGTCTGTAGGCCCTTTCCCTTTCAGTGCTGCTTAGCGTTGCTAAATAGTAAATACTAATACAAAGGTCAGACATGCTCCATTTCTTCCACATCATGGGTGAATAGTACTGAATAGTAGTGAATAATAGTGACTCTCAGATTTATGCCTACACAATTTTTGGCTCTTTTCTGGAGTGCGCGATGATAACTACCTTGGTTTCCTCTGGGTGTTACCCCTGTATTAGTTGGCAACATGATGATTGAAGTTCTTTTATACTTGGGCGGAAAGTTGCGCCAAACTGTGAATCAGTCTTTGCAGGTATGTCCTTTGTACCATTTAGCCAACAGGCAGGCAGTACATGCTGGTCATCATTGTCAGCATGTATTTTTACTATTTTCCCATCACCATCACCGTATCCATCACCCTCATGATTTTTAGTCCAGCTGTTTTGACAGACCTTTTGCAACTTAACGATTAGGGCCAACATTTACAGAAGAGGCATTTTGTTTCCACAAACCACATTTCAGTGTTCAGTGAGTGCAAATGTCGTGTTGTCAATTTGCCACAGGTTGCGGCTGTGGGGTTGGAGACTGTGGTGAGGTTCAGAGAGCTGGCCATGGAGCAAATGATTGAAAAGGGGGATGAAAATGTCCTGTGGATCAAGGCACCTGACATAGCCCAGGAATCTGGCAATGCGACTGCGGCATTATGCTGCCTACACACGGACTTGCTTGCACTTCATTTGCGCCTACAGCTGGTATGCTCTGTTGCTGCTCCATCAAATCCGTTTTTCCCTTCCACTGAATGTGGCCGCTGCCTCGTTTCTGTTGTCGTGGTCGTGGTTGCTGTTTATGAATTGCTGTTGTTTGCTTTCGTTTTTGTTGTCTGGTGTTGTTTGTTGGTTGGTTGGTGTTGGTTGTTGGTTTGTGTTGGTTGGTGGTTGGCGGTCGGTGGTTGGGTTGGTGGTGGTAGTGGGTGTTGGTGGTGATTGTTGTTCTTGTTGTTGCTGGTGGTGGTGCTTCTGGTTCTGGTTGTTGTGGTGGTTGTCGTTGTTGGTTCTTGTGTTGTTGTTGTTGTGGTGGTGGTTGTGGGTGGTGTTGACTGTTCTGGTGGTGGTGATGGTGGTGGCTTTGTGGTCGTGGTGGCTGTGGCCGTGGTGCTTGATGTGGTGGTGGCTGCTGCGGTGGCTGCAGCTGCTGCTGTTGGTTGTTGCAGCTGCTTCTGTTGCTGCTGTTGTTGGTGCTGCTGCTGTTGTGGCTGTTGTTGTTGATGCTGCTGCTGTTGGTTGTTGCCGCTTCTGTTGTTGTTGATTGTTGTTGTGGCTGTTGTTGTTGTTGTGGTGGTTAGTGGTGGTGGTGGTGACTGGTGGTGGTGGTGGCGGTGGTGGTGGCAGTGGTGGTGGCAGTGGAGGTGGAGGTGGAGGTGGAGGTGGAGGTGGAGGTGGAGGTG